TGCAAACACACACACACAGGATGCACACTCACAGCAGGTACAGGCCTGCATCAAGTCTGCAGAACTACACACACACACAGGATGCAAACACACACACACACAGGATGCACACTCACAGCAGGTACAGGCCTGCATCAAGTCTGCAGAACTACACACACACACACGGTGCACACAAAAAAAAGACAGACAGACAGTCTTTAAAAATGTTAATTAAAGGTAGGCAAGATGAATATGTTAAAATAGTGAACACACAAGACACCAGTAGAGAAACACGGGCCACTTCGTCCTGGTCCATTTCAAATGTGATATGGTTCCATGACTGTCAGAGAAGAGGCTCACAGCCCACTCACTCCCTGAGGAGCTTCAGAAGGCTGAACAATAGAAAACTCAGAACCACAACACTGTGTTCACAGACAAAGGTCACAGGGTCTACATGTCTTACAGAGTTTTCAACACTAACAGAAAATGTACCTGTCCCAGTGGGCAAGCCGGTTGTTCTTAAAGTAGATATAACATCTGTTGCTACTAACGAACTACCGGCAGTGTTAACAGAAAATGGTGCTTTTTGCTTAGAGATGCTGTTACGCACATTTGTGGGAAATTTTGTTTAAAATGTATGAATTAAAGCCCAAACATGCTAATTTGCTCCTCAGAAGCAATCAAATGAACCAGAGTTCTTCATTCTGATAGTATGCATAAGATCTGCTTCTTCACTTCAAACAGTTCCTATTCCAACAAACTCAATTATTTTAGAGAGAAGGGCAAAGAAATTACAGATTATATCTCATATATGTTGTGGTTATACATTTGTGTAGTTTATGTGTGTTGTCATTTTCGTTATATAACTAAAAACAGTGCGCTCTCTATCTGAGACACCCCTATACTGTAAAGACCCAATCAAAGGAGAACAAGCTGCTCCCTGAGAACGAATCTGGAAGCACATAAGCTGTACCCTGTCCTTCTAATCTCCCCCATGAGCTAATCTCAAATGCGTCTTTACTCTCTGCTAGAGTCCTGACCTCATACACATATAAACTTCCAGATGGTTATTATTCATTTAAGCAATGCTTTCTAGACGCCAGACGCTGTGTCATGTTTAGGAGTCACAGCCCTGACTCACAGAGAGGACACATTTTCAGAATGTGTCTCTGGGAGGTCTAATGTATTCACTAGCGTACCGCGATCTATCATCTTCATTAACAACCCAATAGTCGTGTAGAGGTGTGTTAGGAAGTAAAAGCCGCAACTGCATACTGTGTACATGGTATTAAAGTGTGACTATCTGTAACCAGGCCTTTCTAGACAGGCGCTAAAACTACCCTGATATCTGGTCTGGGCTACCACACACTACCTAACTTTTCTCTGGTATTGAAACTACGTATGAATTTCTGCTGCCGGCTCCTCCTGGGATCAGTGGCCAAGGACTCCAATGCTCAAGGGCCACCCAGCAGACTTTTCTCTAAGTCTGGATCGTTAGTAATTCATAGGGAGTTTTAAGGTTTAATTCACCTCAAGCTGAAAGTTGAAAGTGTAGCTAAGAAAACAAACACACAGAGCAGGTTATCTAGCGCCTCCTCTTGGCGGTAAAGGGGAAGAGGAGAACGAGTCCAGGCAGGCTCACGGCGTGCTCGAGGTCACACCAGCTAAGAGCAGAGCACCTCAGAGCTTCTGCTTTGGAATACTTACAGGAAACTGTTGTAGGGAATCACCAGGGAGTCCCGCGTGAGAAAAATCACCTTTGATGACAAACACGAGTGAACCGTAACTCAGATGCACTTAATAAGAGCTAAGTTAAAATCATGCTTTATGGAAAAATAAGAAGACAGGCAAGCCGGAGCTGAAGATGGGAAGTCATTTCTGAGATACAGCCTTCACCCAGATCAGCTCCGGACAACCAACTTTAGGAGCCTGTTCCAATTAGTTTGTTCTTAGTTCTAGAGGTATTTCACACTGAATTATTATTCAAAAAAATCAATGCATAATTCAATATTCAACCATTATTCAAAATTAATTTGTTATTTAATATCAAATCCTTATTCAATATTCAAAATTAGTGGAGGTAAGAAACCAAAATCTTTTTGATTTACAGACGTTTCTGTTGTAATGGGTTTGGGCCAAAGAACAGCGATTTAAAGCAAGAAATGACACTTTCATTTGAGTTCCCTGTGTCATATTGCTCTCTTTCCCTCTTTGTACCAAGTGATAAAAGCTGGAGTTTTCCTCTCAATCATATTCTTAAATTTGAAAGTTCAAGTAGTCTGTATCATTGTTGTTAAATCTGACAACTTCTTCAGCATCTCCATATCGCTAAGTGTGAAATCCCAGTAGAGAAATAGCTAATAAATTCATTATACTTCAAACACTAATGGCCCTTGAAAATTAGGGAATTAAGGAATAGTCTAACCAAATCCTTTGCCAGTAAAATACATCTGTGAATGTCTGGGAAGAAAGATAGTTTCTCTGGGCTTTTGTCAATACTGGGTGGTAAGAATAAAAGTGTATTTACAGAACTTGAATTCTGTTACAGGACAACATATACACAAAATGAAGAGATGAGGTTTAGATATAATGAAGAGGGGCTGCCAAGATGGCCCAGTACGTAAAGCACATGCAGCCAAGCCTGGCACCCCGAGTTCAGTCCCCAGGAGCCCACAGTTGTCACCTGACCTCCACAGGTGCACAGCGGCACACCCATACATGCACAAATCTAAATAAATCAAGGTTAAAAGATAATAGATTGAGGTGGTTAGTTCTCAAACAGCACGTATTTGTGGTTCCCATTAAAGTAAAAACAATTAAATGGAAAATTATATATATTTAAATTTTTAAAGGTCTATTTTCATGAAAAAAATATAAATCCAAATGGATATAAACATGTGGATTTTTATAATAAACCTAGTGAAAACATCTATGCCATGCAGTACCTGAGGTTTTTATATGCTAATTCATTTAACTCTCACAGAAACCATTTTGGGTGAAACCTAATATTATCTTTATTTTGAAAATAAGGGAGCTCAGACAGCTAGATAGTAAGAGTCAAAGCCAGATTCCAACCCCAGTGAGTCTGAATCGAGAATTGCTTGCTGAGTGAGCACTGTACTGGCATGTTTTGGTCCTTAGCAGTTTTGTTGAATTAATCTATGAATTGTTATCAAAAGTTAAAGCTGTTTGTATTTCAATTCAACAGCTTCGTTAGGAAACACTTTCCTGGCCTGTTATACTTTGAGGAATACACTGCTCTTCATAAGCTACTTCTGTAAACACTTAGCCTCCAGTGGACAGAAGACCCACCGCACAGAACTATGCGGCAGGCTTTCACCCAAGGCAGTATTCATAGTGAGAAACGGTTCTGCACATTCACAGTCCAATTGCTGCACATATTAACAGCAATAAAAACTCTCAGAGAGCATTGGACTGCCGAGGATGAGGCTTCATATCCCCCGGGCTCAGATATAAAGCCATGGGTGAGTGGTCACTTCCACATCTGCATGGCCCATAGCCCACCCCATCTGCACATTTGGAAACTCTCAGCCCCTGATGACACCACGCAGCCTCATCTACTCCACCAGATGAGGTCAGGGCAGGATAGGTGGGGGCAGGGAGAATGATGTCAAAGGTGATTGTGTGGGGTTGGGGGACACCTGTGGGCGTTAAGCTGTATTCAGAGATGAGCATGAGCTGTTATGTAGAAATAACAAAAACTAGTTTTTACAAATGCCTTACCTGGCGCTTGAAATCAAGTTGCTGTCTCAAGCCCTCTCACAGCAGTGTAGGAAAAGCCAGCCCTGGCCTTCCTCTATACTCCACCAACGGCATCGATAAAACACCAGTGTCAACTTGGGCTCTCTAGAGTGCATCGTTCTAGCGCTCACGAAGTGCCTCGGTTTCCTCTCTCACTTCTCCCATTGCCCTTGCTACTTCATGTAGTGCCAATAACCCCACTCCTGGCCATGGAGATTCAGCTCAAGCGTCGTCTCCCTTATGTGGTCCTGTTAAACTCCAGAGACCTTCCTACCTTCCAATACTTGTTTCCCTACAGAAGACAGCTAGGATCACTCTGTTCTAGCCTCCTACTCTACTCAAGGCACAGACACATCCATCCAGCCATTTCCTTGCGTGGTTAAAAGACCCCATACAGCTGTATCAGTCTCCTCCTTACCAAAAACCAGTCAGCTTAGCCATCTTTATCATCATATCCTCGCTGCTCAATACAGTGCCTGGCATGCATTTAAGACTTAGTAAATGATTAATAACATAGCTAAATCCTCTACCCAACATATTAAGAGATATATACAGTGATATATACAGTGATGGAGGTATAAATAGTATTGATAATCGTATTCATTGAAATAAAACATTTAACCATTGTGAATTTCACAATAAAATTAAAACAGTGACTTGGATGATAATAGACACACAGTGGAATATTGAGCTTCTGTGCTTCATTGGTTTCAATGTTTGGAATCACATTTTTAAAAGCACAGTGGTTCTAATTTATGAACCAGTTTGAAACATGCTGTATTAGTTCTGTCTATTTGATTCTTGTTAAACAGAAAATATCTTCTTAAGTACAATCTAAGCAACACAATTACCTTAAAGTTGTTCATTTTAGCTTTTTTTTTTTCTATAGGAACAGCCACATGTGGAGTGAGAAGCATGGCATTCGCTTTAACAAGATGAATGTCCTACTTTGTGTGACTCGGGGCAGTTTCTCCTGGAGACTGCACTGTGGTGTGCAGGGGTGTACGTGCACTAGAGCACAAGAAGATGCCCTGAGATACTAGTGATGGGTGGGTGTGTGCTGGGCAAGGAAAGTGGCCGTGTGTCTCTACTGAGAAGACCGTGGGGATGAGTGCTATTCAGAGTGATAATTTATAGCCAATTTCCATCTTCCCATCAGCATCCAAACAAAAGAGATGACACTTAGTGCAGCGTGATGGTACAGCAGAAACACCCACTCTGCCCAGTGCCCGACTATGCAGAGTACAACAAGCAGCAACCTGAGGGAAGCCCACAGGCTCGCAGGGCCACTGGCTGGCTCTTTGTCACCAAATGCAGCAGGTTGAATGCAGACATCACTGTGATATCTTCAGCAACAAACCGAGACGCAAAACCAGGGGCAAAAGCTGAGTAGGAGAAAAGAAAAAGAAAACAAGAAACAACGAATTAAAACATCACAAACGTTAGGCACATTCATTAAACAACTACAGGCTTTTGGTTTACAGCTAAGCGTATGCAGTGCTAACCAACTGCCCACGGCTGGGTTCGGGTGCCAAGCTGACTCTCACCACCACCTTTAATTCCCGCGGTACGCTGAGGAGGCAGGTTTTATGCCCAGGACATCTGTGAGGGGAAAATGAGGCTCAAAGCTCAAAGACACAAACAAACACAGTTTGGAAAGAGCGAGGAAACACTCATCTGAAGACAGAGCCGTATTCTATCCTTACACACAGCCTTCATTAGATGCAGAAACCCATATTTTAAGATTAAAAAAAAAAAAACTTAAGGACAAGTGAGAGGCTTCACTCCACAGCCGTTATATCTGAGTAAAGCATACGGAGCATGTACTTCCATCTGGTTGTAAGATTTACGCTTTCTAAATAAAATTCTGTGAGTAGCACTCATGACCCAACACTGAAAGGAGTAAAAACTACTTTACTAAGGTCTCTGGAAATGTAGAAGAATCTCAAAACCATCTGATGTTAAACTTCAGACAAAAGTTCAGCTCGCAGGGTTTTCGTAAACACCTCCTGCACTGTTGCAACCGGCGAAGATTAACTTCAAATGAAAGTGGAGGACACTCGGTGGTTATCAATTTCTGGTGTTTTATTTAAAATTACCATGTTAAGTAACTGTAACTGCCAAATGTCTAAAAATGGAATAAAATTAATATCTTGCTCATTTCCTGACCACGACCACCTCCATTCCTCACCCCAAAATAAAAGTCTTTTCCTGTACTCTTGTGACCCCCTTGAAGAGCAAACACATAATAAACAGTAATATATTTGACCAAATCGCTCTGGACTATATCTGACGGAAATTCTTGTATTAACATGCCTGAACTCTGACTTCCACAAATGAAACTCTCTACAGAACTAAAACATTTTTGTGTTCCTAACTGGAGGCAACTTGGAGGAAGGGTAAGAATCACAGTACGCAGCCTGAGAGAACCGTTAGACATAAATAAACATGTCGTTTTCACGAGCAACTGCAGGGCAGGCAAAAGAGTGCATGCCTTTGGAACAGACTACCGGCTAATAAAAGATCAAAGGTCTATACCTCACAACGCCATAAATAAAAATGGAGTTTTTTTTCCATGAGACCCTTCCCCATGAGGAACAAAGTATGTGCGGTAAATGTAATTACTTAGCAAAGCTGCGGCCTAGCTGCGCTCCCACAGCTGACCATAAAATGTCTTCCTATTCTATTTCATCGACCGCTGTACCAGGCAGCCTGGGCGCCTACAGATCACTGTGGCCATCTGGCTAGTGTCAAAGCCAGCACACAGGAAGAAAGGCAGTGACGTCACTCTGCAGGTCAGGCAAAGAACAAAGATGCCTTCTACAATTAAAAGCCAAGGACTGCAAACATCAGGGGCTCAATGGGATTGCAAGTTAACAGTCCTCCCTGCTGCCTTTCTCCTACCCAAATGTGAGAGCGCCATCTAGTGGCGAGTTGGCTTTGCCCAGTCTGGGGGTTGTTTGGCTTTGTGGTTTTCCAGTTGACCCTGGAAGGGCTACACTAATAAGTGACGCTCCTGGCAGAACTACTGCTGGAGCCACCTGGCCTTTTCATGCTGCAGAATGAAGAACGACAACCTGCCATGGTGCGACTCAGTTGGAGATCTCTCCAGTAACGACTCCATAGGGTGGAAGCTGGTATGACCTTAATTTTATGAATGCTCACAAGAACGTTAGAAAAAGCCAACAAAATAACAGAATGCTTGTGAACAGTACAGTGTCTGCGAATATGTTTCTGAGCCATAGGTTGGAAAGCGATTCTGCAGAACGCCACCTGTGGCTCAAACCCACAACCCCTACTTCTGTCAAACCAAAGAACCCCAGGAAATATGCCTCTCCTGCATGAAGTCAGAAACAAGTTTTCTCTAGAGCATGGGAACAATATTTTTGTGCTGAATAGAGAGACAGCGTGTGTTTTACACTTGCAGTGAAAGAAACAATTTGCTGACAACAGATACACAATCTATACTCCGTTTTCAGAGAGCTGCGTGTCACTCTGGTTTATGTGAGCTATGCAGCTAGACCGTCTGGCTAGCACCCTGGCAGGACCGTGACCACTGTGTAACCTGGGACAAGTGACTTCTCTTCTCAGCATCTTGGATTCCTTGACTCTAAAATAACCACTAAGTAAATTAGCTAAAAGTACCTCTAACAAGACCTGGCATATGTTACATGTTCAGAAAAAGTAAGCTGATAATATTATTTAAACATGTCAAATCATTGCCATATTTAATATTGCATGAGTTAGGCGAAAGTCTTGAAAAAAAGGTTTTCACCAGCACTCATCACCTCGCAGATATTCCCCATCTCTCCAACCCCACACCTCACCCCATCCTACCCCGTGCTATAGTCCTGCCGGATCAGCTGTTTATTGTGTTCCCCAAAACAAGTCCAGTGTTTCCCACCACCTCCAGGTCCTGGCTGCAAGTCACTACTCTCTGCTGCCACCCCTAGCAGCCACTGGTCACAGCTCAGCTTTCCACCTCTGCTGCCACCCCTAGCAGCCACTGGTCACAGCTCAGCTTTCCCAGTGCTACTGGGGCACCTGCCATGCGTTCACCTCTCCCACATTCTCGTCGTGGTCCTGGTCTGTTTTCATCCTCTCCTCTTCTAGATCAAGCAGCTCTTAGGGGCAGGGAGAAGTGCCTTCCCACTTCCCAACACATACTGAGCAGAAGACTCAATAGTCAGAGCCCTCATTTCCAATGTTGCTGCTGCCAGTTCCCTTCTGACAGTGCTTAGAGGAACTAAAATCCGTTACATGTGTACAACTGCTAGCAGCTCCTATAAGAGGGAGACTCGTGAAAAGCACTGCACCGGGTTTAGTCCTCCTGTTTTAATCGCTTCTTTTCAGGGTTTTCTTATGTAGGAAAGTTTTGGGTTTTCCATTTCTAGCCCTGGAGTTCATACTAAACCCTCACTGGTTACATTTCAGGGAGGGGCTTTACTCTGAGTTTTGCAAGTCTCCTCTGTAAACACAGAGCTTATGACGTCGGCCCCCACTAAGTTCATACTACAGACCCCACAGAACTAATGAGCAGAATTTCCTGGACGCATCATGTAGGGCTGATCTCCCTTAATTTTCTGGTTATTGTTTTCTTCCTCCCTTTGCAGAAATTGTGTCTCGATCTCTGGTGCTCTTTCTTTCTGGTTCCCAAAGTAATCAGGCCTTCGGCTTCCTCTGGGTTTCTGACGTGCTTACTCTCTTCCTTATGGAACCTCTCCCTTCCTTACCCAGTCTCCACCTTCCAGAAGCTTGTAACTTCACCCACCAATTCTTGATTGGGAGCTAGGAGGCTCTAGGGCTAACCTGGCTCAAAGCACCAATGCTGTTTTCTACGGGCTTCCAGATCGCTGTAACATCAACCTGTGTTTGCACCGCGTGCGTTTGTTTACAGGGGCTTCCGTAGTTTTATCGCCTGTTTTACTTAGCATGCTTTCAGTATCTGCGTGTACACATTCCACGTGAGGATCCATGATAATCGGATGCAAGTGCCCGAACGCGAGTGTGATTCGCTGAAGTAGTTTCCCTGACTGCCATTCACTTGCTCTTTCTGGCTCTCCATTTACCAGGATAGGCATGCAGTTCCTGCTCCCGCCCCCTTGTGGCGGAGGGAAACCCTGTGACAGCTCCAGCAAAAATGAAAACAGTGCCACTTCCGGGCCTCTTAACTGTTGGTGTGAAACCCTGCCGAGCTTGTTATTCTTCCGAAACAAAACCCAGCCGAGCTCTCTAATTAGATGAGGGCGACTCTGCTAGCCACGATCTGGAATAAGAAGCAAGCAGCAGCCGGTCCATCTGGCCCACGATGAGCATGCAGTACAAACAAGAACGAAGCCGTCAGCATCTCCAGCCGCTGGTGTTTGTGACTGGCTGTTTCAGAAAGAGCTAAAGTTCAGGTAATAACTGATTTGAAGTTCCATGGCAGAAAGTGATGGAGCCAGAAGAAAATTTATTTTAATATCTATTAAAAATGCCTTGGGGCTGGAGCGATAGCCCAGCAGTTAAGAAAGAGAGTGTATTGCTCTTCTAGAGTTTAGTTCCCAACAGTCAGATCCCAACTTCCTCTGTGGCAATCAGATACCCCAGCCTCCATGAGCACCTGCACTGGTGCGCACCTACCCACATACACATAATTTAAAATGCTAAATATATGCTTTTAACCCTCAAAGGTATGGATTCTGGTGCTCCAGATATTACTGTACTTATTTCAGGAGACATAGTCCAAAAAGACTATAATGTACAGAATGTACAGAGTGTGCATAGTGTACAGAGTGTACATAGTGTACAGAGTGTGCATAGTGTACAGAGTGTACATAGTGGACAGAGTGTACATAGTGGACAGAGTGTGCATAGTGTACAGAGTGTACATAATGTACAGAGTGTACATAGTGTACAGAGTGTAAATAGTGTACAGAGTGTGCATAGTGTACAGAGTGTACATAATGTACAGAGTGTACATAGTCCAAAAAGAGAAGTCAATGCCAAGGACAGGGGAGCAACATGGAAAGCCCATAGCGGCTCTCCTATTGGTCATCCCTCTGTTACTAAATATCACAAAGGAACTCTTGCTTCGGTTGGAAGAGAGGACTCTCCTCTTACAGGAACACACTGAAGACCAGATGGATGTTGTTCAGGCTGACCACACTGAGTTAAAACTGATCCAACCCTTCAAAGAGCAAGCTGGTCACTCAGTGGTGACAAACGAATGAAATCCTCTGCCCTAAAGAGACTGGCTGCTCCCTGGGCACTAACCACACCTATTGAAATCCTCTGCCCTAAAGAGACTGGCTGCTCCCTGAGCACTAACCACACCTATTGCAGCCTCAGCTGCATTGAGCTGATTCAGAGAATCGGAGTCTGCACACAAGTCCATATAAATACA